CCTTTATCCATAACCTAACCATTACCAGTACATACCTAACCCTAAACATAACACATCCTCAATTCACACCTTAGTCCTAAACCTAGCCCGTAACCCACCAACGGGACTTCTTCTTATGGGGCCCGGGCTTTGGGCCCCATAAGGAGCAGTTGGTCCTCACAATGTAGTATAAGTTGGAAAAATGGGCCTCACAAAGAAGCATAAACAAGGACACACACACACACACACACACACACACACAAAGAGCTCAGGGCAGGTTGGTATTGATCTGTTCTGCAAAGTACATCCTGTGGTCTCTTGATGACAGACTAATGTTTCTTTCCATCATCCATCCATTATCTATCCATCATCCAACATCCATCCATCCAGCATCCATCCATCATCCATCCACGGTATTATAACTCGGCTCTCCTGAACATCCTCTCTGCATCTCGCTCTTTCTGGAGGTAGGCGTGGCCCTCTCATTAGCCCCGCCTTCTTTCCAGTTTCCAGCATCCAGAGTGCATTAGCTGATTAAAGCCCCCACCTGTCTGTTTGCCAACTCTTCCCTTCAGCTCCACTCTTCATCTTCCTCCGTGGGTTTTATTCCTCCGCCTCTTAAATTGGTTCTTGTCTGTTTTCAGTGGGATGAATTCCCTCCCAGCTCATTTACAAAAAGCCTTTTTATCCTCCATCCTCATCTCCTCTTCTGATTTTCACTTCCTGTTTACGCCAGCCATTTTCAGAGGCTTTTGCCTCCTTCAGCCCTGCTGCTCCAGCTCGTCTTGTTACGTCCTCAACTCGAATGTCTTTTTGTCCACGTCTCATCTGTTGGTGTCTCCACGTCTCCTTGTGCTCCTTCCAACTGAAGTACTCCTCATTTTCCTCTCAGAAACTGGATGCTGCTGCTGGGACAACCTGACGTCCTCTCACAGGAAAACAACAGAAGACAGTCTCACCAAAACTGCACAAACACAGAAGAGTTTTGGTGATGACTAAACGTATTAAATTATCTTTTTGTCTCCACAGCTCGATCAGACAAACAAAAATCCACCAGGGCTCCACTTGTTACAGCAGACAAGTCGTTTCAAAACACAACGAGAGCCTTCAGAGGCAGATTTTATTAACCGAGCAGGGATGAAGGCTGCACAGACCGGGTCCAGCTGCTGGTTCAGACCGGGTCCAGCTGCTGGATCAGGCCGGGTCCAGCTGCTGGATCAGGC